ATATATAGTAACATAAATTAAGTTCCAAGTGCCCAACCAAAGGGAACACTAACCACTATAATGGTGAGTAAAAAAAAACACATTTTAGGAAAATCAACATCAGTTTATGAAGGTAGCTTATGTGATTTTCTCTCAAATATTTCAGTTGTATTGAAAATTCAACATTCAAGATGACTTTTGGAAACAAGTGAATGCATTTCTAGTGAAAGATAACTGCAGACATGGAGGAAATGGGTGAAAAGTCTTGTTCCCGCTGGATGCAACAAATGCCTCATTTATAATGGGTTTTAATGTTTTTGTCTCGTCGTTCCGGCCGGACAGGGAATCACAGTATGGTGAGGGGCGTAACATTTCCATCACACGCTTGTGGTATTTGGCCAATCACAACGCACTGGATAGCTCATAAACACATTTCATTACACCAAATACACAAAATAATGTTATTTTTAGCAACATCATATGACCCCTTTAAGACTCTTTTTCTTTTCTTCTTCTTCTGTTATGTAGCACATTAGCAACATATTAGTGCACTGCTGTCTCTCACTGCTTTATTAATGTCATTGGTTCCTTTGTGGCTACTTGCATATTTTAAGTAAGCGTCACTCAAAACAGTAAGTAAATTGTTTTATTTGCCTTGAAAGTAGCTGTAACTTAATAAAACCTAGTAAGTATAACAACTAAGTAAAGATAACTAATTAAATCTAAGTAAGGTAAACTACTGGATTTTACAGTGTATAAAGGAACGACATCTAATGCTTTAAAAGAAATGTGCAGCTCATAAAGAAAAGACATCCCATAATAAGAAATGTACTCCGATTGATCTAACCCGAAGAAAACTGTTGAGGCTGTGCTTCGGCTCTGTGCGGATCGATGTGGTTTACACATGAAAATCTAAGCATGACATTACTTCTTATATAAGTCTTTGCTTATGTTTTGAGTAATTAGACACGTGTTTTTTAAATTAAAAGTTTTTAAATTTGTGTTTTTTAAATTAAAGTTGTCATCTCTGAACATCTGTGGATGAAACAAACATCTCAAGAGATGTAGTAGATTAGGTGGAAAGGGTCACAAATTGACTAGACAGCTGAAGAGACGTTAGCTTTCTAATTCACAGTCTATCCTTGAAAATAAAACCAAAGCAGAATTACAACGCCCCATAATCATTAATGAAACGACACAGCTAACGCTGCTGTTAGAGAGCTGCATATTGGTTAAATAAATTATCTTACCTGCTGAGAAACAAAGGCATCTGTGGGTTCGGTTTTAAATCCTCACCTCTACAAAGCCAAGCAGTGTTGATTCGGGTTTTATTACGGACTCTGTCGCTTTCTGCTTGCAAACTTTGCTCTGTTCGGAGTTTCTGTTTTTACAAACCGTTATTTACCTTTTTTCATGGTCAATATTTCTTGCTTTTTTTCAGCTTTTTTCTGTTTACGGACACGAGACACGTATTTTATGTATAATAAAAAAATAGAATTAATCCATTTTAGGGAAGTATAAATACTTAAACATGTTCTTGATTTTTGTTTTCATTGAAATGAAACAACCTCATCAATAACTAACAGAGTACTGTTATTTCTATTCCAGCAGCAACGAGGCCTTCCTCACTTGAGTGTTTGTTTGGTTCATTCTGAGACCAGATTTTAAAAACAGAGTAGTTTCTACCATAATCTTGTCATTACTGTGATAATGGCATCATTACTGCAGCTTTACGCACAGATAAATGTGTTATAATCAGACACAGATTTCCCATCAGCCCACAACTTTATTCTGATACAAACTGAACATACAGCACTAACAGAGCAGTGTGAATCATATGAACAAAAAGAGACCAGCATCCAACAAATAAATCAGTTCATTATTAGTATTCATCTGGACTGTCTCCTCTATCTATAATACTGCAGATCTTCATTCACCTGTGAGTAACGGCTAATCAAACCCAAAACACACAATCTGGCTTTAGATGAGCGTGAGGATGGCGTAAGAGAGCGGAAGCGCTGGGAGAGTGTCTACAGAAGACTGCATGAATAACAAACAGTGATGATGAGAGAAGAGAGAGACGTGCTCAGGATCTGCTTCAGCACTGATCTCATCAGATGGCTCTGGGGTCCGGCGGGGTCAGGGGTCACTGCTCTTCTTTCTTCACTTCCTCATACTGCGGCTCATCGCCTTCCTCTTTATCTTTCTCTCCCTCTTCGTCCGCTCGTGCGTTCGGGACCCACAGTCCCGACTCGATGCAGCGCTTCATGTGGTGTTTGGCCTCCTGCAAGAGAGGAAGATCATCAGACTACCATCAACACTCCGAGCCTGGCGTCACGCGGCGCACACTGACCGTCGGGTCCATCCTGCTGATGGCGTCCTGCAGCATCTGAATGTCTTTATCGTCGAAGCACTTCTGCATCTCCTGCGGGACGAAGCATCAGCATGTTCACAATCATCCACACTTCACCTGCTCGGAGTCTCTGTGATTCCAGTGAGCACTAACTAGTGTTCATTCTGCCGACTGCTTATGTCCTTCTTTATTTACTCCCATTAAACAAGCCGTTAGATCTCGTCCTCATGAGTACAGTAGCTGTGTGGTGTGTGTGTCTCACCGCAGGCAGCGACTCGTACACCTCCACTGGATCCAGGCCGCCGGGACCCAGGCGCTTCTGCCGCTCCTCCTCCTCATACTCCTTCAAGGCTTTCTCGATGCGGATCTTGGCTCGTCCGCGCACTCGCTCCTTAAAGGACTCCAGCTCGTCGTTGAAGGCGTCCTGATACTGCTGGTCTGTGGTCTGAACACACAGCATGAAGGAGGATTGTCTTATCTGACATGAAGAGCAGGACGTTTCTCTTTATCAGCTCTCTAACACGTCAAACACTTTTAGCATTCCTGTGCTGCATATTCACATGCATACATATGAAATAACAGAATCCCCATCAATACACACTTGATATGGTCGCTGTGATAAATCCCTCCACACACACACCTTGATTTTGGTGAAGAACTGGCGGAAGCAGCCGCGCGGATCGACCTTCAGACTCTTGGAGAGCTCCAGGATGAACTGCATGACGATGGTCTGATGGGCCACCTGCTCCATGAGAGCGTGTTTCTGACACACACACACACACACACACACACACACGCGTCAATCACAGATCTCACACAAAAACACA